ATGAGAAGTTTTGTTACCCACCTCTGTGTCAAATTCCACAAACGCAACGCCCTTACATCTATTGTCTTTCGTCTTGGGAATTCTAACTTTGATAACTTTACCGCACTATACAAGTTTCAACGAGAATGATCAGTTGGAGCTATCACATTTATGGTCATTCCTATCATAATGTCCTACCGTTTTAAAGAATTCTTCTAACTCGCTAATTTCGACGCGACTCGGGAGGTTACGAATAAAGATTTCTTTTTGTCTAAAGAAGAGAGAAATTTTGTAACATTATAAGAAAACAACGAAATCGTATAATTAAATGCATAGACAATCCTTACATCGGCGGTGAACGCGTTTTCTTCAACGAAGGGTTTGAAATCATTACTTTCAATTTTCTTCCCGGTTCAATTTCGTAGCCATCCATTTCCAATGCGGCTTGTGTCGACTCCTATGAGTTATGCGCGGAATCGTAAAAGATGTGATAATAACACGAAGATGTAATTACGGAATTACATGATTCACAATTATATACCCTATTCTTATATTCAATATAACAAAATCTTCCTGCTCGCCAATTTTTACTTGGAAATCGGATCTCGATTATTTCTCCATACTGGAAGGGCATAAAACACAAACGTCAAAACACCTCAACAAATGATTCTATTACCAGAAACTTTCTAAAAATTTACCTTCTTGAATAGTTTATTCAAATCTGTCGATTCGGTGAAATTGGTGATATATAAAATGTGTTGAAATATCCTATAAACATCAATCTCGTTTTCGCCGACTTTCTTTTTGTCTTTGGTCAACGCGGCGGGAACATCGTCCTGTTATGGAATAAGAGAACCTTAACATCATGATAATGCATCACCACAACATCAGTGCGCAATAGCTATACCCTGCTCGCAAATTCAATGTACGCATATTTGTTGGATTTTTCGGAGTCTTCTATTAGTCGGATTTCTACGATCTTCCCGCACTATATATAATTCAATTTCATTAAGGGCATAGGGGCATTGGAAACACGAATTTCAGACTACAAGCAAAAAGTAGATGACTATATACCTCATGCAATAGTGCTTTCAATTGACCTTTTGTAATATCCGATGGTAGGTTTCTCACGACTATCGTCGAAAATTCACGATCACTGAAAATAGAATTTACGAATCATATTAGAACAAAAAAATTTTTTTCTTTTCTTTTAAGAAAAAGAAACCAACCGTTTGTTCCGATCAGCGTGAGCAGCTGCCAATTATAAAGTCATATATTTAAGATTCTACGTTTACAAAGTAAGGCGAGTAAAATAAAGTTCTTAGCATACATTTATTTCTCTTCTCGAATGGTGATCCGTCAATCTGCGAATCATCTTCGTGTTTTCTTTTTTTGGCATCATTCTTTTGATCCGTTGTCGAAGAATCTAATTCACCCACATGTTTGGAGTTTTCTGCAGGCTGAACATCCTGTTCAGCCTGAAATTGTTCACACAACTGTGCAATTTCAGCTTGCTCTAGCGCCTAACATGCATGAAAAGAAAAAAAAAAAACGTGAATATCTTCGTTGAAATCCCACCAAAAAGTCATGAGACATCAATCAACCTTTGCACGTCTCTTTTTCACATTCTTCATCTGTTTCCTCATAAAAATTTGCGCAGTTTCAAGGGTTTCCAATGTTCCATATTGATGCTCGAATTGCTCCCAAGCGTCAAATATTTGTTCTGGCCAATCGGTGTCCTGTTGAGATGCTTTTCTAAACTTTTTACGAGTTTCCTCCAAGTTTCCCAAAGATCTAAGACCGCATATAAAAAAAATTCCTTTAAACAGTAATTGAGGATTTGCAATGGCCTCGATTAAAACATACTTCTCCCAATCTGCGTAACGAAGCCACACTCCGGATTCGTTGCGATGATGTTTGATGACTCGTTCCCACATCTCCCTCGCTTTACTTGTACATCCGGTCAACGTCTACAAGAGGATGATGTAAGGAATCGATTACATCATTAGTTCAGACCATAGATTGTTAAGTGTCCTACCTCAATTTCTATCAAATATCTTTCTAAACGATAAAGAGGATCACCGTTTTTAAACGCTACAATGAACTAAATTAATATTCGCCCTGAAAATACACCTCACTGAATGCAAAAATAACGACAATATTCTACCTTTTTCTACTGTCCGAAGTCCTTCCTTTATAGCACTTTTAAGGGCATCCGAGTTATTTGAATTGATCAATTCTTCGTTACTCACTCTCCTCCTTTCGAGATCACAGTTTGCAACTACTACTTTGACTAATTCGTCCACATTACTATTGAGCATCCCCGTGGATAACGCCCTCTGAAATATATTTTTTATTTCGTCGTACGATTCCATGATAGCCCTTTTTTCTAAGGTACGCATATAATGACTCCACAAGTCTCCTGACCATGGACAATTGCGCACACTGCGTTCAAGAATCTTGAGGGTGTCGTCATAAGAAACTTTGTTCTCGACAAGATAAAAAATATAGTTTTCCCAAAGAGATGGGTCTAAATAATGGTAAGCAATGGCTCTCTCATATAAGCAGCGAATTGCCGGCAAAAGTGAATTCGGCTGCTTTGTTTCATGCTCGATGTACTCGATAAATTTGTATAAAGCGAAACCGGATGTGCTCTGTATGCATGGCAAACCAATTTCAAGGGATTAGCCATATTATTTTTATAAAATGCCCAACCGCGTGACACTTACCAATTCTTGCTCATACTTATCCATTTTATAATATTTGACTTTAGTTTTACTAAAGAACGAATTCGCTTCGATCATGCACTTCTCATAGTTAACATTCTCATATTTTGTGATGAAAGACGAATAGTCTGAAAACGTCTTTTCAATGGCTACAAAAAAGTAATCGCATGTTTTAAGGTTTATGTGCTGGATATATTTAGAAGAGGAAAATGAACTCAACACACTTGAGTGGGGGACCTTGAGACGATCAAAGTACATTTTTTTAATTCGATCCTTTTGTTCATCACTAATAGTGTATTTGTTAAAGCAGTAGTTCAAAGAATAATGCCGATGTCGCTCAATCCTACCTTGGTGATTCCTATTTGAAAGGAGTAGTGACGCGTGTACTGTAAGTCAAAAAGATGTATTGACAAAAGATGTATCTGTGGATTACACTACCTCCATAATTTTCTCTTCAAATTCTCTGTAAGGGTCCCAAATCTTGTGACTCTAGAAAACGATTATTTCGAACTTTTAAATACGTTATCTATTTAATCAATGATTCCGAGATTAGCTGGAAACGTACTTCCGTTATAACATATCCAGTCTCCTTGCATGCCTCTTCGAACACCTTCCGAACATATTCTATTGTGATTAAACTAGCCCTTTCGTCTACACCATTCATCTGATCAAGTGAACTTTTGTACTCGTTCAGTACATAATTCGAATAAGCGGACCATATGTTAATTGCTGCGGAATTTGGAATAAAGTTTTGGATTAACGAGTTGAGAATCTTTGACCCCTTATTTGGACCGTCAATGTGATGTTTAAATGTATAACATACATAGGTAATCTTTGACCGCTTCAGAAAAAAGATTGATCACGTTCTGTTTTTCTTCTTGGGTGACTGCCAGTCGCGATTCGTCCTCAATCCATTCAAGCCACATCTCTAATCGCGTCAGCAAGAAAATTAGAATCCGTTCTTAGATAGTTATATCAAAATGACGTCAAATTACCCTCAGACAAAGGGAAGATTTGGTGCATCATTTCCCGTGCACTTTTTAATTCCTCAAAAAGTGATGCCTGCCGAAGGGCTTGAATATATTGGACATGTACCGAGTATTGATAAAGATTGTTGGTGAGCTAAACAAGTGAGAATCCGAATTAACTCAACAAGGATTGTTGGACGACTTCACGCGCAGCATTCGACGTATTACCTGTTCAAGTAATGACGGTATTGTTTCCGAAAGTAGGGTCTGAATTGCTTGGTCAAGATCATCATTTTCCGATAGATCTGAACCCGACGTTAATGACTCGTTCTTGTCAATTTCCATTTTTGTGTGAAGAGAGTAAAAGAATGATGGTTGGATTTCAATACGTGACACATGACGCAATGCTGATTTTTTTATTATAAAGTTATTATTTTATAATTCGAACATTTTACATTATAACAAATATATGCTAAACTAATATTTATAATTTATCATAAAATAATGCGTAACTTGCAGCTTCTATACGATTTTACATATAAAATTAAAAAAAATTTTTTTTTTAAATAAATATAATATAAAAAATTTTAATTAAAAATTTTTTTCAAACCATTGTATAAAAATTTTGTATAACCAATTTAAAGATGTCTTTTAACTTGTCACGTGTAAAGTCATAATGTAATGAAGCACATTTAACCGATTGGTTTACCGAATAAAAGTGCTGCTTTTAATTTGTTTGCTGTAAATATAACAATAGATTGTTTTAAAAAAATCACTTGGAAATCGATGATCTCTTTATACTATTTGAATACCATATTTACAACAAACCAACATTCGATCGAGGGCTAATCAAAGAGGAAACCCGCAGGATTCATAATTAGACGCGGATAATTTTCTATAATTATAAATGTGAAACCCGCATCTTAAATTTATAATACAAATACATTTCCATTATTACTAATTCCTTCATTCTACCAATAATAAGTACAGTATATCACATTTCAAAAATCCTCGCTATAATCCAGAGGCACACAAGAAATCATGAATTCCCCGGTAAACCCACGGAAAACAACGATATATAACACATAACTTTAAAGCTCGATCAATGGTGGCGCCTCTTCTAATTTTGGTGTTTGTGATTGGGAAATAATCTGCGATGAAGACGGCTGTGAGGGATATGAATAGTAGTCGGATTGCTGAGGTGGTACTGCCTGTTGTTGACATTGGTATCTAGAATAAAAGACAAAAATAAGAACCGGAAAGTAACACACAAGATAGAAATTTGTAGCTTTGAGTCTCGCTCACCCAGTCTCAGCATTATAGGTCGGTTGAGGCGCATAGGCGGAAGTGCCATTAGTTTGCAGCGAATATCCATGTTGTGGTTGAGCCGCATTATACTCGACAGGAATATTATTGCTATTTATAGCTTCAGAGGAAATTTGAGTAGGAGCATAAGGAACCTGAGCTGAAGCATATGTATAGGGAGTGTGTGTTTGCTGAGCTAATTGCTGTTGGCCAGGTTGAAGGTTTTGTTGAATTCCAGCTGTAGCAGTATCTATTGACTTAGACTGAACATATTGTACCGGAGGCGCGGTTTGTGCAGGATAGTAGGTTGGGGAAGGTGCAGGTGCAGATGCAATAGGATAAGGATAAATGCTGGACGATTGCATAATAGGTGCAACGGAGGGGTACATGTTTCCGATTCCGGAAACAACGGGTGAGCTGACATGTTGCGGTATAGGATATGAAGCTATCGATGCTCTGCGATTGTACATTCTCTCTTCCAAAAGTTTGTCATATAATTTTACTGCTTGTGTTAATTTATCGTGCATATCAACCAGATCCTCTGATAATAAAAAAGTTTAATGCGACCCTCGAGATATATCACTAAGTAAATATAGATATAATAATATGACTTACGGTGTTTTTGTATAGTCTCCGTCAAACTTTTGGTCAATTTCGGTTTTAATTCGCCAATTTTTCCGTGCAACTCCTAATAAACAATAGAAAATTAGAAAAAAAAAAAAAAATAGATCAAAAACGACAGAAAATATTTTAATGGCATGAAATTAAATTCGGACCTGTATTTGCCGATCTCTAAATAAATCACCTCCGCCTTGCTGAATTCGTTCAATCATTTCTGAAAATAGGTGAATATTTTCCGACTCGATCGTAGATAATTCATTGGGCTGATTGTAGGTCTGATAAGATGACGAATAATCAGAGGTGGAATTATATGTCGAAGATTTATAACGATTTGGATTGATTTTCATCTCACGAAGAGATGCCTCAATAGCGGCAGCAGTGTCTTCTTCAAGTTCTTTTGTAACTTCCGAGTTCTTTGCCGCAACCTTTTGAAGTGCAGGTTGTACATAATTTTTATTATACTCGGCTTCCTTTAAAGAGAGTTCAATAGCTTTTTTTAAATCATCATCAGACTCCTTATTTATCTCTTGGGTATTGGATTTATTATCACTTCCGCTATTCAGGGGTGGAAAACTTGAGTATAGAGTTGATGGCGCGGAACTTGAAAAGGACTTTATCACAGAAGGATCGGAGGTGGAACTGTAAAATGATGAATTAGTCCTATGCATAAACACAATGCTTTTTTTTTCTGAAATCTATCGCTCATAATTAATCACCTTATTGTTTTTAATTGTTTTTTAATATGACACGCATCACACACACGCACCGGTTCATTTATACCTATGTGAGGCAACGCCGCAGTTTTGGACGAACATTCCCCACAAAATGTTTGACCACAATTTCTACAGTGGTGCTAAAGAAAGAAAAGGAATGCCAAATTTTTTAATTCAATTATTCCCCGTTTATACTAACACTTCAGGCCTAACCATAATTTAATACCTTTCTATTTGTAAACGTGAACTGTGTTCTACATCGCGTGCAAACTTCGCTGTCTGTCCATTCGGGTGGCTATAGCAAATGATATTATTAATATCGCTGAATTTTGTTATTGAAATGAAATATCTAACGAGAAACCAATAATACCGCTGCAGAATCAACCATTATTGCGTTCGTCTTATCAGCTTTAGGAAACACATATCCTGAATGTATTTATAAGATTCGTTTAGATAAATTTAAACTATATTTGTCCCAAAAAAAAGCACCACCGCGGTCTACCTTCTTGTTTTAATAATCGATATGTGTCTGTGACATACGTAAGTTCGGACTTTTTTTCAAAAGCCATACCCCAAGTCTGGATCAAACCAAGTAATTTCTCCACAACCTCCGGATTATATGTGCTCTAAAAGCAGCAATTGAATTATAAAATTTATGTTATATAAGAAATCACACGACTCAAGAATAACAACGTACCTGTGGTGATCTAACGATTGCAACCAAAGTGTCCACAAAATCCCGAGATGCTATCTCAATTAAAAAGTGATTTCCTCCATTCTTAACACACGTGTCTGTTAGCTGAGAAATAAATGATATATTTTTTATTTACAAAGATGTTCGTTATAAAACATCAAGTGAAATTGCTGAAAATTCTTAATTTTCGCGTTATAATTTCTTTTTTTTCCGCAAGAATTAGGAATTTTATGGTTCACTTACACTTAGGGCCAATAGTTGAACGTTAGGATTGCTATTTGTAATTCTCTTTTTGAGAACCCGTATTGCATCTTTTGGAGCAACCGATTTGCTACGAATCATATCACTAATTTCATGAAACAGGACCAAATCTTCTTGGCCCCTTGGAAGCAACTCAGAAGTCGCTTTTTCTAAAATGCGAAAAAAAAAAAATTGCAAATCGGTCAACAATTGAAGTTTATAAAAAAGAAAGAGTAGATTTGATAATAAGACAACATACCAACTTGTTCTTCGAAAGGATTTCCACCAAAAAGTCTGAAGGCCATTCTTTTTAAAAAATTTAAAGTGTGTTTCCAAAGAAAATAAAGTGCTGGGTGTCTTACAAAAACAGATTTGGACTCGTATCTAAAGAAATCGAGAGTTTGCTGCGTAACGGTAATCAAACTGCAATCGACCATTTACTATTACTAATATAGGTAATTTAAACCCAGAACAATAACACAGCATTCTTCATTATAGTTATTTTTAGGTAAACTAAAGTTTATATCTCTTTTTATATAAAGTCTTGAGTTTGTTATAACCAGGGTTCATTATAAAAATTCAAATATATATATATATATACTGTATATATATATTTTTTTTTAACCTGCAGTCAGGTCAGTATGGCTTGTCTTTATTGTATATATAAATATATTTATAAAATGTTTTAATTATTGCCTACAGGTCATTACTGCAGATCATTCTAAATTCCAATTATAGTTAAAAATCAAATCATTTTCTTTCATAACAAATTCAATCCTTGATAATTTATATATATTGTATTTTATTTTCTCCTTTCTTTCAGAAACTTCTTACTTTGGATCTTCTATGAATATAATTCTTCTTCCTGTTTTTGTATGATTTGTATAATGGATCTATATTCAGATCTTTTGATTTTTTTGATTTTTTTAATAATATTCTACTTTTTTTTTTTTTTTTTTTTTTTAACCTGCAGTCAGGTTAGCATGGCATGTCTTTATTGTATATATACAAAGATATTTACAGGATATTT